AGGAGGAAAGAGTTCTAAGATTTTACTACATCCCTGCGTCCTGTGAACTTTGTTCATATACCAGCCTTGTAGGTATCTACATAAACCTTCACTTTGCTTTGGAAATTCCCACCTAAAAATGCTACATTCATTTGCATTGTAGCCTTTATGTAGAAGCTACAAAGAAAAAAGCTTAGTTCCACCTGCACTGTTACTTAACTGGAACTGACCTGAAAACACTAAATGTTTGAATGCAGCCTCTTAAGTGACCATTGTTGCCAGCCTACTCTGGGTTTGAACAGGTAATCTAACAGAGCTTTTAACTCAATAAATTGCTTGCATGCAATCTTTGTAACATTCCTGTTAAGCAGAGATTGGGGAGCAACATCATCCCAAATTTACAGTTAAAAAACCTGACACAGAGATTGTGATTTGCTTCAGTATCATATGCAGTCTTTGGCAAAATTAATGACTGAACTCAGATCTCTCAAATCTCTGTGCCAGGCTTTAAGTACAAGAACCTCCTTTCTCATTTCTAATGTCTAAAATTCTATCACACCCTTAGGGTTTCAGCTATTCTATTGGCTCCCGCACTTGAAGGAGTTTTCTGCTCTTCAATTACTCAGCAAATCTGTAGCATGGCTTTTTTGACTTGTCCATTGAAAGCATATGGGCTTTTGCAAGCAAACAAGTGAGTCTACAAGCTTGGAAAGGCATGTGAACCAGAGTTTGAATCTCAGCCAAACAATTTGTTCTGGCTTTAATCAAGATGTCTTCTTTTAACTTCAAATATCACATTTTTTAAATCCCATATCAAAACTTTTAGCATCATACTATGAAATGAATAAATGCTACCAGTCATTTAACTTTCAGAAACACTTCAAAGCAACTGATATGAGTAATAGCCATTATTTTATTTTTAAAAATATTCATCAAAGACATGTAGTTAATAAGCTGGCAAAACAAAATTAATAACAACAAAGCAATGTGTGAATTATGTTTTGAACTTGGAAAACTGACATAAATACAGCTTGGTTTATTCAATTTATTGCTGTTTTGGCAAATGAAATTTCTCTCTCAGCTTCTCTCCACCTCTCCCATCCACACATTACCATTTTTCCTATTAGTTCTCGTCCTAATTTGAACCCACTCATTAATACAGTATGAGCCATAATGTTTATACAGTTAGTCACTGCACTCAACAGGTATTTCTGAGAAAAGCCCTTGGTTCTACCTGAAAGAAATAATAGCATCTGACTAGGCCAGATCTTCATACCTTCACTCATTTTGATCTTGATTAAGGAAAACATCTTAATTCAAGAATTTATTTCAAGTATGTGTTTCAAGTCTCAATTAATTCAGCAGGGTCCATGAATACAGATGAAGTTAATCACATGATTGATCACTTCCCTGATTGTGGGGGGGGTCATAGAATGGTACCTGATTCCATGAACTGCCCAACAGAAATCAATAAGACTACTCAAGATCTACTAAGTGTAAATAAGTATAGGGAAATCTGGCCCCAGGTAATGTAATAATGCTAACTTTATTTCATTTTGTTTTATCCATTGATGTTAGCATTCAAATTTGGAGACAAGGAGGAGTGGGGCAGATCTTGAATGGTAGAGATTTGGGCAAGAGGTTATATACACTAGAACAGCTGAGAAGTTATATATCCTAGAACAAAATATCGTAGAACAGCTGAGAAACAGAAAATTACATTCAAGCTAAATATATGTTAAAACAATTACATTGAATTTCTTCCTAGATGCAGCTGGTAAAAGTGTGTTTATTCTTCAGCTTTAAAATAATAAGCACTTCCTGTTATGATTAGCTCAAAATCTGAATTGCTTCTGCTTACTTAAAACTCAGCAAAGAACCAGCAGGCCCATGGTAACATATAATTATACTAAGTAGCCAACAGAACAAAAAGAAACCAAATTTTGTATATTTCTTTAAACATCATCCCAATGATATTTCAGTCGCCTCCTAAGATATGGTTTGCTACATGTCCTTAAGGTCAGCGCATTCAGTCTACTTTGAGCCAGCCACAGGGGCATTTTCCCAGTTTCCAAATAATACCCGGGCTCAATCCCTTATATTTTTTTTTTTTATGGATGGGTGTCTAGTTTGAACACCTCTTCAGATCTCAGTAATACAACAGTTATAATGTTTAGACAAAGTCTATTTACAGTTTATGTTTTGAGGCTAGGTAGGACTACCTCTGCTATAGAGTAGCAAATGTATTGGAAGAATTAAAAGAATGATCAAGATTACACATTAGTAATCAGATTATCACTGGAGAAACAAGCAGAAAAGGATAGGAGCAGTTGAGTGCAAAGCAGTTTTACCTTCCCTGTATTTACCATTGTATCTCTTACACAGGTCCATGCAACACCTGTCTCTAGTGAAAGTTGATGATAATCATATGGAACCCCAATACACAGATCAGAAGAAGAGCACGCTACAGGCCAACAGCTCTTGCTAATTTACACTGTGAATTTCCAAGGTTCCACAACATCTAGGTAAATTCCATGGCACAAAACTTCAGTGTTGCAAGAAACAAACACCCTGTTACATCATTGTACTCAACAACAGTTTCAACTTGCAATTCCTAGTTACTTCAATGGACTTTTGACTGCTCATCACCTCTGAAAATGGTGTAAAACCCTGTAACATATAATCCACACAAAACACAGATTTAGAAGCCTAATTTTAGGCACTTGAATTTGCAGGAATGTAAGCCTTTAATTAAGTGAAAAACAACAGCAGCTGCAAACAATTCGGTTTCTCTACAGAAGGTATCAGGGATCCATTCACAGGATCCTCAAGGTAAAGGAACAGGAGTTCCATCTTGCCACCCAGTCTTGGCCTTATCATTGTCTCATTCATCTCTTCCTTGCCACTGATTGTCTGAACAAGGAAACAGAGCTCCAATAAATGGAATGTATGAAACTTAGGCCATTATGTTCTTCATTGTCTACCCACTCCCATTCTGAGTAGCCAGGCAGAATCATTGCACTAGTTCATTATTACATGTCAGTGTCAGCATAGTGAAAGCTATTAACTAACTGCTGTATGCATGAATTACCTGTATTCCCCTTTTTCTTTACTGAATAAATAGAGCTGGTCTAATGTTGGACCATCTAACAGAACGGAAATTCAGACATTTTGAAATTTGTTTACGTAAAATTGGAACAAAATTAAATGTTGAGATTTCCTTCTAAAGGAAAACTTTGGGGGAAAAATTGAGGGATAATTGAAATGCCCCCTGTAATTAAAACCCAAGCGTTTTATTCCAAAATTGACTTCTGGAATAAAAATAAATAAATAAGATTTCTGTTCTAATATATTTTACAATATAATATAAAAATCAACCTTTTATAAGAAAATGTGTTTGAAACAAAAAAATGCGTTTCTTTCTGAGGGTAAAACTTTTCATAAGATGAGCACATTTCAAGTTAAATAAAATGATTTCATTTTTTTCCTCCAAAATGAAATTTTGATTAAAATTGGCTCATTCCCATAGAAAAACATTCCATAACTGACATTGTAACCAGCAATGAGTAGGATATTATTTGGTAATCTTGGGAAACTGATTGGCTAGCTCTTCCAAAATGCTTTTTTTAATTCTCTCTATAACATGCACAGTTTTTTTATGTACAACTTTGCAAAGAACTAAAAATGCTATGCTAACTTCAGGTCTGGGTTAGTAGTTAATCCCATTCTAGTGGGAATTATTCTACCCTATAGACTGCCTCCAAAACTCACACAAGACAACTTCTGGGCCTACCTGAATAGTATCTCTTGTTATTCCTGTAAGAGTGGGACATTCCAGTGCCTAACCAAAAAGACTATATGGAGGATGAAACTGTACTCTGCCAATCCCCACCTTGCTTATAGTCCATTGAGGGTAGCAGCCAAATGGTGTAAATTAAAGCAGTAGATCTTGGCATGCAAGAGAATCTGTGCCTTAGATTCTTTAAAAATCTCCCATGAGGACCTTTGTCAAAGACATTTGAAATCGTCAGCTACTTCTCCTTTATCTACCATTAAATTGACACCTTGTAAGAATTCCAGTGGATCAGCAGCAAGGTTTTCCTTAACAGAAGCTGTGTTAATTAGTCACTTTCAAATGAGTTTTCATATAAGCATTTTGAGTTCATATTTGAATGTTCTGCTTTGGCTCATGAGTCTGCCATTCCGAAGATCATTCCTGGTACTGTGTGCATGTGTACATGCACCACATCCCATCCTACTCTCCTAACCTTACATTTAATAATTACATTTATTAAGAAGGCACATTTTTTGTAGCAAGTCTTGTTAATTGGCTGCTTCCATGTATTCCTGGATAACTGCACTAAGGCTGAGTAATTTAATCTCTGTGTTGGAATTGTATATTTGTACTACTTATGCCTATGTGCACTACAGTATAATCACTACATGTGAAAAATAGTATCATTACTAAGATATGTACTGCCTAGAGTTTGGGTAGCCATTAAGTTTCCCACGCTGTTGTGTAACTGGAGGTTTGTAACTCTGGCATGGAAGGTGAACTCCATTGCATGGCATATTCTCATTCTGATCTACAAGAGAATTACATGCATTAAAAAAATCTAGTTACAAAGTAACTGACAGACTCACAGATGGGTTTTTTTGTGTGAGATTTCACACTGCCTTCTTGAATGACTCCCAATGGGAGATTTTTTTTGTAGGTCTTATTTAAAAAGTAAAAACCTTTAAAATATGAAGGTTTCTCTATAGGGACTAGACCATGAATTTTCACAATTTGGTTTCTAGCTGTGACTTTTTTCTCAGAGTGGTTCCAGTCAACTTTATGGTGTGAAAATCATCATCCTTTTGCCTTTGCCTCCCACCCTGAAGCCATATCCAGGAGAGGCTCTTCCAACTAAGGAAATGGTTCTGAAGATGTAAACCACTGGGATACATGAGTGCTTCCAAAGGGTCTTTTCTTGAATTTGTTGCCATGTGTGTTCTGCTGAGACATTAGCTTGGTAAACACTTCCCACTGAACTAGACCTACTTTTGCATAGCACTTCATTCAGTGGCAAAGCTCCATGGCACCTTTGGTATGCAGTTGTTTTCTTGTTTTAGCTGCAAAACAACATGTCTTGGTACAAGCTCATGCAGTATACCAAACGGGGCTATTCTGTACTTGATGATGCAAATCAGAAGGAGCTCTCGAAGAGTGTAGGAAGCAATGAGGTTCATATATTATAGCTCTTAACAGTGGCAAACTGTTCTGTTTCCCCAGCTCTTCCTCTGCATGTTTTTCTTACAACAGCTCTGAGAAAGCACAGATTTTATAGGGTCAGGAACTACTAACCTTGGATTCTCAGTGGTTTGGTTTAGAAGTGTAAATGGATGCAGTTCATTTGAGATTCCCCCCAGTGTAAGGCAGAATTAAATTTCCAATGTCATGTTTCCACTGTTGGCTTCAAAGATACAACTGATGGGCTCCGCCCTTCAAAGGTGAGGGCAGTATAGTGGCTGAAGCATTATGAAGACCGATTTTCATTGAAAAGGAAAAATACTTTTTTTTCCCGTTCTGTGCACCATTACCCCTCACCTCTGAACTGAGAGAGACTTTACGTAGTGTCACAATTTAGCAAATTACTTCCTCAAAGGAAGGTCAAACATTTTACCATTGGATCAATAGGAAGCGACTTACAAATCATGTGTATTGATCATTGAATCATTCAGAGGAATGTAGGGCAGACACTAAAATCACATGCACTTAGTCTTAATTGCCCACATTAAAGCAATTATGCCCCAAAACTGTCATTGTCTAATGCTATGCACACTCCCCAGCTTGGTAACTTTTAGCAATACATATTTAATCATAAATCAGCCTTTTAGGTCTGTTGCATTAAAGACCTACAGTATTGCTCTAATTATGCAAATATAGCTACGGTTTTTTTCATTTTCATGGAAGATCATATTGCTTTTGGAAGAGAGGCTGGGGGGATAAAGGGGGAAATAAACCACTCTGGTAATGCAGCTGGTATTGAACACCTTGATTTTACAGCCGCACTGGGCGCTAGTAACACAGGCACTGAGTGTGACCTGAAACTGCTAATGAACAGAGAGCATTTGTAAAAGCAGTCACAGGTCAAGGACTGGTAGATAAAACTTGTTGAGCAGTGTTGGTAGTGGGTTTGTGTCAGGAGCATGCTATTTATTGGAAGGTGTATATACACATCATTTTCCTGGGCACCCTTGTAGCTAAAAATGTGAGGAGCTCCAGTTTGCCAGCTTTCAAATGCATGTCTTCTGCGCCTTCAAACACCTGGGTCGTTGTGTCACAGAAGCCCGTGTGCACGGTCCCAGAAACGCCGGCTTTGCTTTGTGTCGGCACATCCCTCCCTGCAGACAGTGGTCAGGAGTTTCTCGCAGATCTCAAGAGCGCAGACTGAGCGCCTAAAGGCTTGCACAGGAGAAGGAGAAGGGCATGGGCACGTTGCACTCCCCCCCCCCGGGCCCCTTGTAGCCGGCGGACGGCTCTCCCCTGGCTTCAGGGACTGGGACCCAGAGGCCACAAGGCGGGTGCAGCGCGCTGGGAGGCCGATGGGCATGACCCGAGGAGCTAGGGCTCTCCTGACATCTCCTGCGGGCAGCGCGGCTCAGAGGCGAGAAGTCAGACGGGAGGCGGAGCAATCCGGTCCCCACCGCCTCGTCCTGGAGGGATGAAATATGGGCTCCAGCCTCCTTCTAGCTTCCCCAGAGGCTCAGCTGCCCCCCACCCGTCTGCCCCAAAGCAACGGGCTCCTCGGAGCAGCCAAGAGCGGCTTCAGCCTGGGCGGGTGAGATGTTGTCAGGCCGGGGCCGAGCTGCAGGAGGCAGCTGCGCTCGGGCTCGCAGCTCCCTGACACGCTCCTTTTAACCCCGAGTCGCGGAGACGCCCCCGGAAGGAGGCTTCGTGCTGTGGCGGGAAGCAAACGTTGCAAGAAAGGAAACGGGATTGTGGTGAATTGGGTCAAACCAGAGCAGGGCAGTCGGATCTGCTCCGCGCCCTGCCCCTGCCACCTGGGGCGAATCCTGTGTTTCCTTCTGCTCTCCCTTCCCAGCAGCAACAAGGCTGTTTGGCTGGATCCTTTCTGAAAGTTAATATTGGTTTGTCTTTTTTCTTTTTTTTTTTGCCGCTTCTCACACCTTATCTAGTTTCTACATTCTTCCCACTTCAGTAGTCAAAGTGATTGAAGGCCGAAAACTGAGCAGATCCATCCCTGCAGCAACTTTCCTCACATTTCTCATTTACCATTTTCTCAAACAGGCCCTTTGTCTGCGCAGTCCCCTGATGTTGCCTCTGTTACACGGAGATATTCTTCAGGTCATGTGGGTTAAAAGGGGGCTAAAAAGGAGATCATATTGGACTTGCTTTACACAGACATGTAGCATTAGACCCAACGCCCAATAGAGGAAAGATATACTACTCCTATTTGATGAGCAGCAGGCCAATAAATTCATTAATCATCATTTTATGCCTCATCAAACACTTCCCAAGTTCCTCCATGGGAGTTATACAAATTAGCCACTGAAAAGGCAGTAATTTTAGTTTAGCTAGGTAAGTGCTTTTTGATTGCCTTCCTGAACAATGCTTCCCTTGACAAGCTAATAAATCAGCCCTTTCTGAATCAGAAGTGCAGCAAGTGCGAACAATAACTCCACATAGTTTCTCCGCTGATATCAGCTGGAAAGGCCTAAGAGGATGATCTAGGATCAAAGTCTCTTACTTTATTGCAGAGCAAAAGCTTTCTTTATGAAGAAGAGCTGAAGAGAAGGAAGGGGGACGCTTTTTTCTCTTTTTGAAAAATCAATTAATGAGCATAAAAAATATCTCAGGAAAGCGGAGAGGAGGGAGAGGCTCGGATTGCAATGATGTCATGTGACCTCTCAGGTGGAGGGGCTGCAATCTCAATCTCATCACCCCGGTGCGGCGGAGAGAGGAACCAGGAGCAATATCGGCCCTGTGTCCCTTCTGGAGCCTTTTGAAATATCCTCCCGCTTAGCCGTGTGGACAGGTGAGGGGTGGTTACATAAATCTAGAGGCTGCTATTGTCAGGAGTAACAGATTACCAGGCCAAGTCGTAATAGAGACTGTATTTAATCTGCGACCAATTGATTCCTTGAGTGTTTCAGGTATTTGGAGTGTAGGTTTAGATTTGTTGGTGGCTTTGCAGTGAGAAGCCTGGAGGGTGTGCTGGCTTATCTTTTTTTCAAATTGCTGCCTTTGACAGTATCATCTCTTAAAAAAAAAAAAACTTGGCCGTAAATCATTTCACTAATCAGCTGTCACCAGCCAACATGCATGCATTGGCATTCAGCCGGAGAAGCTGTTTTGGAAAGCCTTTAGCAACAAAAACTATGTTTGTATCAATAACCGTCTGTTAATGTCTCATGCATAAGGATGTAGAACACAGAGAAGAACAAGGAAAGACAGCAATAAAGAAGGACTATTTTGGGGAGTATTAATTGCCTGGTAAAGCAAATCCTTTCCCCTGCTCTAGTGGAAGGTAAACTAATTACCTGGAGCAATGACTCTATAAAATAAAAACCAACACTCCGCCGAGCTTAGCCTGGCGCTGGCAGCGCAGGTTCAGCTGCTGGAAGGGGAAGGTACGACTGCCCGGGGTGAGGTGGCGAGTTGGACTAAGAGCGCTCCCCAGCCCTCACCTCCAAACTGCACTTGTGCTAATGAGTGCCCAATAATGACTCTAACCGCATTTGAGCAAAGTCGAGGCTTCCTCTCCACGAGTCTAGACCCAAGGTATTTTAAGTAGTGTGTCTCTTCTCCTCTTCATTAACTTTCCTTCCACACATCGCTGCATACCTCTGAAAATAACTTGGCAAACTGGGAGCCGTTTATCTCTTTTATCTTGGGACCTGATCCAATTAAATAAGTGCACATTTACATTTGCATCCATCAGGCAGGAGTGCGGAGAGTTCTGTGGTTTGCTTTAAGCAAATAAGAGTCGATTTCGCTGGAGAAAAGGGATCTAGACAAAACAGAGCAGATTACGTTCAGTAAAGGGTGATCCGAAGAGCCCCTGCAGTGGACGTGGGAGGCAGAAGCGATGGAAGGAAGACCCGGGAACAGGTGAAGGGAGAGCGAGCAAAAGGTGTCTGCTAAGATGCTTGTTAACCAAAGCACCTCTTCATGAGTCCACAGGGGCTGCACATAAAACAGCACAAAGGAAGAGGAGAGATAATTATTACACAACAGCCTGCCTGCATCGACCAAACAGGCCGGTTCTCAGAACACTCCTTGCAAGTTTACACAGGCTCTAATTATAACAGATGAGTAACAGTGTGGTGAGGACATTTATTTTCTGGTATTTGGGGGCGAACAGCTTTGTGAAGCTTTTACAAGTAGGCTATCAAACCCTGGCACGAGGCTCCCTGTCAGTCAGGAGACACCGTACGCTTTCCAAACAGAAGGCACGCATTTACTTTAAATCAATGAAGTCAACCTATAGGACATGGAGACTAGCTCCTGGCTTTTCCTCCTCGCTTCTTTAGATAGTTTTAGTACTGGGGAAAAAAGAGAGAGAAAATAAAATAAAAAAAAACCTGTTCTCGAGTGAAAGAAAGGGGGAGAAGAGAGAGGTAGGCAGCAGAAAGCAGCGACGGTAGCTCCTTTTACAGCAGTGATCGCGAGGGACCAGCCAACCTGAGCCCCCCGCAAGCAGCTCGGTTGACTCTGGATGTGCCCCCAGTTGGACGCGGGGGGTCGTACCATGCGGCGATTGAACTCACGGCCTCGGGGGGACGCCGCTTAAAACCGAGGGCTCCCTTTCCCCAGCCCTGCTGAGGACTGCAAGGTCTAAAGTACTGCCCCATGTGGAAAATGCATGTGTAAGGATTAGGGGGAGGGGGGTAAGAGCAGGGGGAGAAACTGCCTGAATCAAAGAGCTGTTGAATACTAGGTGCGGTTTGGAAATCCACCAGCCCAAGGGTCCGAGGCTTATGTGCCCCTTAAAGAGAGACACAGAGGTCTGAGCACCTTGGGCCAAGCAGTCTCAAGTAGAGGCCACTAAGTTTCCAGCACGGAGCAGGCTCTGGCGGGCTGGGCTGGGCTGGCTGCCAGGACGGCGGGTTCAGGTGCCCCGAGCCGCCCTGGGGCTCCGGCTCGCCGCCATCCCCGGCAGCCGGGACTGCACCCTCGCGAGCAGAGAGGTGACCGAGGGTTTCTGCGCTGCAACTGCGGAAGGCGAGTAGGCGCCCCAGCTCCTCTTCGCCTTCCGCGACAGGGTGGAAATGAACCCTTGCTTCCCCGCCGGCTCTAGTTTTTCCTGTGATGGGAGCGGGGATTTGCCACTGTGCTGAGTGTCAGGTGCTGGAAGCTTTTCCCTCGCCGCGTGGCGCTGCTGGGAGCCAGCCCTAGAGACGCCGCTTGTCCAACGGGGACAGGCGGGGACGTGCCCCCTGCCCGGCCCGGGCCCCAGGGCGAGCAGCGCGGCGCGGGCTGGTCCTTGTAGCAGGAGCCAGGGAGCAGCTGCAGGCTGCGGCCCAGGGGACCGCTCGTTTCTGCCGCTCCGGTTTGAGCCGCTGACTGCTCCGGGCAGCGAGGCTGGGCTGTGCCTGGCCCTCCCTGCCTAGAGCCCTATTGCTGCATCAGTGTCTGGAAAGCGGGGTCTGGTTGTCTTTTTAGAGGGCGGGGGCAACAAAACAAACCTCCTGCCTCGTTAGTTGCGGAGCCCTCTCTGGGCTCCATTATTTGGAAGGGGACCCGGTCCCCCCGCCTAGGTCGTGGCTGAAGGAATGCAGCGGCCAGCGCGGAGCCGCCATCTGGCCCCTCCGGCTTCATTTTGCGGGAGAAGTAGCGCGGAGGGGACTGCCTGGTGCTGAATGTGCTTTAGAAGATCTCAGCGTAGACTTTGTCTGCGTCTGTCAGAGCCAAGTCAAAAGAAACAGCTGGCCTGCATTTTTAGCACCCATAATTAATTAAGAGCTTCATTCCTGGGATTTGATGATTCAATAAAGCAAGACCCTTATCCCCCTATGTGATTTCAGTGAATATCTACTCCACTCCAATTCTTTTGGGTCCCTAGATAGAGCAGATTAACGCTCTTTTTCTGTGGGAGAGAGGGGAAAAAATGTCTCGAGATTGCATCTGAGGCGCACACAAAAGGTAAATTCAAAACTGCCACTTGTTCTCTGCAAAGACTCCTTATTCTCCGCTATTGATGTATTTGTGCCAGGTTTTAAAGAAACCAGAGGGGGGATGAGGAATTAACATATTGCTCATTTGGAAAAACAGCCGGTTCTGTTTTTGGTAACACTTGTTCCACTGCCAGCCACAGATGTCCTTACTAATAATCTAAGCAGGTCATATAAAAAGGGGAAAAGGAGGGGGTGGAGATCTCTTTACACTTTCTGTGCTGAATTCGATTCTGCGCTGGAGACCAGGCAGGCTCGAGTCTGTTTCTCTGGTGGTTTGTTAATGCAAAGCCGGACGTAAGAAACCTGACTTCTACAGCTGCGTAATAACAATAATTAACAACGCGGCGCTCTGTTTGTCAACACAACTGAGCTGTATGATTAAATACCCAAGCTGTCCGCAATCAGCTGATTGAGTTGTGGTGTTGGGTGTCTGGCTGCCATTTACAGCGTCTCGTTAGAGAGATACTGTAGCTTTCTGACCTATGTAAAGTCCTGTTTAACAGCCGATCTGCTATCGAGACAGTTCTTTGGGGGCTTCGGGAGTTTTCTTTTATATTTCTACCGTTCAGATTTTGGGGGGGCTCCGTTTCAAACAATGGCTCCTTTGGCTTCTGAAATAAAGGCTGAAATGGCTGGGTTGCCTCTTAAACAAGCTGATCGAGTGGTTTCTTTTGGCTCCTTTGGGGGGGGGGGGGGAAGTAGTTTCTAGGCATTGCAAGAAAATATTCTGTTTCGATCCTCTTACTAAAAAACCGATAAGCCAATTACATCGTAATATGCTTCCCCTGGAAGCGCAACTCTCCTACCAGAAGCGATTGCTGTAGTTTTTAGTTTGCGCGATGCCAGGGAGTGTAATAGGTTAATTGGGACAACTGGAAAAGCCGCAATTCCAGGCAGAGCAGCGGGGTGCGTGTAAACACAGTACAGTACGGCG